GTTAGCCAATGGCTGAAATAGCTAATATAGTATTGTTGTACAGAATTGTTTAAATTAGTAATATAATTTAACAATTAATAACTACTCCTCATATACACTATTATAAAACATACATATTTATGCTAAATCTAAGTCTATCTCCCCACGCAGTGTTATAACAAAATTATAATTTGTTGACTTTTCATTGAATGTTTGTGGATTTTATGTGAACAGCCATTCAATTGTTTGAGCTATATTTCATGCAAAATTGCTTCCAGATTTAATCTCTTAACATCTATTTTTTTACAAATTTTCTGGGGGGCATGCTCCCAGACTTCAGTAGCATCAACATGCTGATTGTACTTCGCACAACATGAGTTAGCTTTTAATCTCAAAAATTAGAATATCCTTTCAAACATTCTGCGTACGGGCCTGCTTTTGTATATATATACATATATATATATAGTGAATTTACGGCTATTAGTTCAAAGGACATCAAATTGTATTTTCATTAAACCGCAAATTAATTTCAAAAATTTCATTTTGTCTTGATTTTTAGTATATTAATGAAAGGTACTTGAAAAATAACTGATAAAAATTACCACCAAGGCACTGCTACACTAGCGTTTTATATTTTTTTCTCGTTTCATTGTAGACGTCACTATATTACAATTTCTAATGAACCGCACCTGCCGGTTTTGGATTAAAGAATTTGGAGCCCTGGACAATATGAAACTTTGCCTCTTCCCTTAAGCTAGAAGGAGCTTGAGATATAACTACCAGAGCTTCTCCTTACAATATTATTAATAATAAAAATAATAGCCAAATCTTCCTCAGCCGATAATACACAAAAAAAAAACCACTGACAGTACAAAGTTTCATTTTCTTTCTCTCATATTTAATGTAATTAGTGAAGTCAATCCTTGTACCCGCATCGTTGAAGTAAAATGTTGAGATGGTATTGCAGTAATTTGAAAGTGGCTATTTATGGACTGCATATGTTAGGGAAGTTTTGGAGCTGCTAGCACAGAGCTTTATCAGCTAGGCGCTGGTACACGGAGTTCATGCCCCTGAATCTTCAGTTGGTGTCTTCACAAATCTCGATAGAAAACCATAATCGATATCATACTGAAACGCCGAAAATAACCGCGCCTATGGGCCTAAGCCCCGAATCTTATAAGTACCTATCTAGCGACGCCTCTGAGCAGTCCATTAATAACATCTTTCACGTATAGTCCTTTGCTTAAGCCTTATCTTAAGTAGGAATTATAGTCTTTATAAAACATAAAAAGAGTGAATAACGTTTATGTGCATTATTAGTTTGGCCAGGTTCTGATTGTCGTACACGTAAACTTCTCGAATCTCGGAGATGGGGTGTTCTTCAAATACACAATGGTTATTCCTGGAGTGGCTCCTGCCAGGCCATCTTGAGTGGGAAGGCGTTTGTTCAAGATGTCTCAGATGTACTTATAAAGCTACCATACAACTAGACTAATGGATGTAAATAGAGTATTTTTTTTTATGAAAACCTTATAGAAACTGTTATCTTTATATTTAACTGTACAGAAAACACTGGAACATAAAACGACAAAATCGATTATTATAAAAAAAGGAATTCTGTATATCTTCTTGATTATAAAAGCACAAAGACGGAAATAATTTAAAGTATGGTGCATAGTTTAACAATAGAGAATAAGCTGAAATAACGATTATAAGGCAATCTTACTGCTTCTAACACTTCACCGTTACTACAATTACTCGTGTAGGTTATATTATCGACATTGGACTAGTCCTTTATCAAGTGAAGAAGCTCATATAATTTAACTGACAACTGGCTATTGAAATGGTAGTGAAAAGTTACCTTCTGATACATACTAGAAACAAAATATTAATAGTCCTAACAATGTTAAAGAAATATATCATGCGAAAGTCAAAGGTACAATTGTGTTGATATCGCGTTAGTTCAGTGCTGCCTCGTTAGTCGTGTCATTCGCCTTTTTTTGGTTTTATTTAATTAATTTTTCCTTTTATATTGTTCTAACGCTTCAATAAAATAGGGCATGAAAGAAGAAAAAAAGGGTTAAATAACAAAAACACAACAGAGCCCTCTTTATTCCACTACCTTGCAATGAAGACTACAGTATTACTAAGAACTTGTATATATATAGGGTACTAACCAAAACCTTGATTTCACACATATTTGATTAGTTTAATTGATAACTGCTTCTACCGATATCGAAATGTTTTAAAATATATTTTAATCAAATGACTGAAAAACCCAACAACAAATATGTTCTTTCACCATTTTAATAATGTTTGAAAATTTACATTCCAGAATGAAAGTCATAGATCACAGTAGTGGCATGCGTGTTATGACACGTAAATACTTAACAAAATTCTACGTGGAATGAAAATAAAATAAAATATTATTAGTAAAAACCAATAACGAACCAACCACTACATAATCATAAAATAAAGTTGATATTGTAATACCATATGGATAGCTAAAACTGACAATATGTTTAAATTTTAAGTACAATTGTGAAATATAAATAATACCTGCACTTGTCTAGCGTTTAGAACACGCGCTACACTGCTTAACACATTATTTAGGTAACTTCAAGAACAGGGCTCAAAAATAAGAAGCATACTGCACGATTATACATACTTTACAGTATTCGTACATCAATGTTCGATAAATATAAAATATTTATTATACATCATTTTCAGATGCACAAATATAATAAATGTTTAAGGAAATATACATCATTTTCACATTTGTAATTTACAACACCACCAAGTGGCTTAATTCAGCCGTTACAAAGTGAGTAGAGCGTCAGACCGAACACTCGTTTGCTGGTAACTAGCTGAATACAAAATAATTCAAATAACTAATTTCTATTTTGATAACTAAAATCCTGCGTTCAAGATGGTGATATGGTTTTTAACACTTCTAACGAACTGTTCAAATATTTGTTTTTTACATTTGTTGCACTCACAATGAAATAGATGCACTTGTATAATTTTAACCTTCTAACCCAATATTACTGTTCACATTTAAGAGTATTGTATAATTTTAACCTTCTAATCTAATATTCTTGTTCACATTTCAGAGTATTCTTGTATAATTTTAACCTTCTAATCTAATATTCTTGTTCACATTTACAGTATTATTCTATAATTTCAACCATCTAATCTAGTATTCTTGTTCACATTTAAAAGTATTGTATAATTTTCACCTTCTAACCTAATATTATTGTTCACATTTAAGAGTATTCTTGTTCACATTTACAGTATTATTGTATAATTTCAATCATCTAATCTAGTATTCTTGTTCACATTTACAGTATTATTGTATAATTTCAACCATCTAATCTAGTATTCTTGTTCACATTTGGAGTATTCTTGTATAATTTTAACCTTCTAACCTAATACTCTTGTACATATTTACAGTATTCTTGTATAAATTTTATCCTTCTAATCTAGGATTCTTGTACACGTTTACAGTATTCTTGTATAATTTTATCCTTCTAATCTAGGATTCTTGTACACGTTTACAGTATTCTTGTATAATTTTATCCTTCTAATCTAGGATTCTTGTACACGTTTACAGTATTCTTGTATAATTTTATCCTTCTAATCTAGGATTCTTGTACATGTTTACAGTATTCTTGTATAATTTTATCCTTCTAATCTAGGATTCTTGTACACGTTTACAGTATTCTTGTATAATTTTATCCTTCTAATCTAGGATTCTTGTACATGTTTACAGTATTCTTGCGTAATTTTATCCTTCTAATCTAGGATTCTTGTACACGTTTACAGTATTCTTGTATAATTTCAACCTTCTAATCAAACTTTCATTTACTCTCGCTCACTTTATACATATTTTCACACAAATATTCTTGTAAACTCTGGTAAAAACTTTCAACAAATTAAACAGGAATTCTTGTAAACCTTCTCAGTGAAACTTCTGGAATGTTTAGAGTATAATAAATTACTGCAATTTACTAGCTAGCATAATAACCTTCACAGCATTATTTAATCTTTTTCATCAACTAATTCAAAGTAAGAGAATATATTACAATTAAAATATACAAAACTCAAGACACTGTAAGTGGAATAAGGTAATAAATAAAAATCTTTTTAAAACAAAAATCTTGATTTCTTGAAAAACATATAAGAAAAATTGAACAAATCTAACTGTGCATAAATTTGTGGGTTTTAGATATGCAACCTAAACAAGTTGTGGTTGTATTCCTAATCAGAAAGTTGGTAAGTTTGTGGTTATATTCCAAGCATTTAAGCTTAACAAGTTATTTTTGTATTATGAATGTATAGGTTGATTAGGCAGTGAGGCAATGATCTAGATGTGAGAAACTAATTAGAATATAATGTTATGTAGTTGATGTGTGAACTGATTATGTTCTATAGTTGTATTCTAGATGTATAAACTGTTATACTGTATCACAGACTGTATTCTAGATATTTAAATTGTTATATTGTATTACAGACTGTGTTCTAGACTTATAAATTGTTATACTGTATCACAGACTGTATTCTAGATATTTAAACTGTTATATTGTATTACAGACTGTATTCTAGATGTATAAATTGTTATACTGTATTACAGACTGTATACTAGATATTTAAACTGTTATATTGTATTACAGACTGTATTCTAGATGTATAAACTGTTATATTGTATTACAGACTGTATTCTAGATTTATAAGTTGTTATACTGTATCACAGACTGTATTCTAGATATTTAAACTGTTATATTGTATTACAGACTGTATTCTAGATATTTAAACTGTTATATTGTATTACAGACTGTATTCTAGATATTTAAACTGTTATATTGTATTACAGACTGTATTGTAGATGTATAAATTGTTATACTCTATTACAGGTTGTATTCTAGATGTTTAAGTTTTTGATTGTACTATAGGCTGTATTATAGTGGTTTAACCTAAGTTATAAGGCTGTATTCTTACACAGAGGTTTGCTAATTAATCCAGTTTTATGAAGATATTCTAAAGGATAAACTAACTAAATAGTTTGTCTACATTCTAGGATTCCTATTTTATAGTTGACCAAAAAAATGTTCACTTCAGACTAGAAACATGGGAGGTATACACAAATTCAGTTTCTTGGGTACAAAACTGGAATAAAGTAAACACAAGCCACCTACAAATAGTAAGAGATACTATTCTATCATATATATATATATATTTTAATATTCTTTTATATTCAAAAGCAGAGATTAGATATTGAGCAGTATAACATAAATGACTAAAATATTTTAAACAACTTAATCAAACCTTTATCATAAAACATTAAATGCTAAGTTAACAACACTGACAAAACACTTAATCCTTGTAAATATAGGTATTGGATGACATCACAAATCGTCTGCAAATTAGACAGATAAGATCTTTACGAGATTCAAGATTGACTTTTATCTTTGTCAGACTAAGAAATATATTCAGCTGATAAGTTGATCGTGGTTGGTGTTGTTGCTAAATGCTCATAGGGCATGAAAAGTTGAAATAAAGAGCTATTCATAAAAATTACTTATTTCAACAAAGCAAGGCTAGATCTTCAAACTGATTCACCATGAAAACCTGGAATTCTGACTTGTGTTGTGGTTAGTTGAGCTACACCACTTCCCAGTCCAAGATCACCATCATACACTGTATTGTTCTAGAAGTAGACAAAAAGTTGTATTTTCCAACTGACTAAAAACATTAATGTTACTGAAAACATTAACAGCAAGAATACCCAAATGATTAATTAATGCTACTTACTCATAATACATTTTATATTATTAAACTGTTTTACATTATAATGTACATAATCATCATATTCCACAAAATTTCAACACCAATTACAACAAGTCTTTAAAACTAGCCAAGCCCTGAACATAGACCTAAATTCACATATTCTGATCCTTTCTATTATTGATAGGTCAAGAACTGAAATCTTTTAAGTTAAATATATTATTTCATTATATGTATACCATAAACGTCTAACAGAAGTGCAGGTCATAATTGTTGTAAAATATGAAAGACAGCCTAAAAAATCAGAATTTGAGTGGAAAAAGTATTTATTTATTTATTATGAATTTTGCACAAAGCTACACGAGGGCTATCTGCACTAGCCGTCCCTAATTTAGCAGTGTAAGACTAGAGATAAGGCAGCTAGTCATCATCACCCACCGACAACTCTTTTACCAAAGAATAGTGGGATTGACCATCACATTATAACACCCCCATGACAGAAAGGGCAAGCATGTTTGGTGGGCCAGGGATTCGAACTTACGACCCTCAGATTGCGAATTGAGACCCTAACCACCTGGCCATGCAGGGCCGAATGGAAAAATAGGAATGATTAAATTTCTGCTATTGCTTTCTTACCATCAACAGAGTAAAGTGAAAAAAATTGCTTCGTTTTACATATTTTGAATGATGTAATGCATAGCCAGATGTTAGTGTGTTCAGAGTTAAATTTATGCAACATCCATATCAGGACATTATTTGCAATTGTTGTTCCCCATGAGTTGTTTCTTTTCAATTTCCTTTGTTATGCAACTCTTTTTTTCCCTCCCATCATTTTTTTTTGATACTCATTCTTGACTAGATAGCTTTCATTTGGACACCTTTCTAATAAAACTAATATAGCTGTTCAACTTCTGAATGGGCTAACTATCAATATGGTTTCTCATCGTTCAACATTCTATTTAACCCTTTCAGCAAGGGCACCTGCAATTCGTGGGGGGTGTATGGCAATTTCACTTGTGCAACAATACATACTGTAAATCTTAGAGTTTTTAATGTATCCTCACAAAAACTGATAAAATTTTGTTAAAGATTGTAAGTACCTTGTACACAAACAATAACATTATTTCAATTAAGTGTTTCTGCTACAAATATAGTATTTATCTATTGTAGTTATTTGCACCCAAACTATTAATAGTTCAAGTACAAAGTGATTTTCATTTTAAGTATAAAAATATTTTTCTTTATCTAATAGTTTCATTTGCATAACCTCTAGAATCTTGTAAATGAATATCAAAAGTTTTTAAAGGTAAATGTTTATATTTTATTTTTCATTTTCTCTACCATATCACTAACTGTAGATAACATTATCAATATATAGTGCAATGAAAAAAAAAATCCAAAGTTAAAGGGCATCATTGTAATGGTATATTCTGGGTTAAAAACTGGAGTGATTCTGTCAAAATAGGAGTGACTGGCATCTATAGTTGTGCAAGTATGTGTTCATGCAAGTGTATGAATATAATTTATAGTTATTTATTTATTGCATGTTGTTAACTGCACTGTTTATTTTATTATCATTTAGAAGGTAAAACTAATGACTTAAAAAAAACTTTTATGTTTCACCAACATTCTTAATATGTTTTAATAACATGATACTAAGTTTGTATGAAAGACTAATAATCATAAAGGATAAACCAACAATGTTCTGATGCCATAAGAAAGAGGAAGAAATATGTTTGAAAGAAAACATCTATAGCTAATGATATAAAAACTACGTAGTTTGAGGTAAGTTTGTATACTACAATAAAGATGTTATATTAAAAGTTATTGCACAGAAGGTTTTTTTAAATCTATATTTTTTGCAACTAACATAAAATGACTTGTGTGCAGAAAAAAATACGGTACCATATTAAGAAAATATATTACAAGTGAACACTTTCAATGAAATACATAAGTGCTACTGATAAAGCACAACCCTTTTTGACCAATAACATTTACTGAGTTGGTAGTATTTTAAAAACTGTAATGCCAAAAAATAAACTGGTAAAGGCCATAAACACAATCACAGCATATACGAGTGTATCTTCTTTCGGACAATGATTGAATCGAAATTTTTATAAATAAAATATAAATTTAAAGAGAGAAAGATATAAAACAAACATGTCAACTACACAACAGAAGTAGGTACAAATGAAACATGTGAAAGAAGATTATACAAAACAAATAGCAAAACATTTATATCTTACCATAAATCAAACACATTCACCACAAAAATAGACAGAAATTCATTACATCCATACTGAACCCACATAAGATCATCTATTTCAAAAGAGTGTATGATAAAATAAATGTTTATTTAAAAAAGAAATGATATAACGAAATCACAGAAGGTAATTTCAAAAGTATGTATTCATACGAAAGATATTCACTATTGTTTTTTCGAAATTTACTAAACTGATATCATTATGCTTTAATAAATAGTGTCCATAAAATTAAGTCTAATGAAAACTGGTAACCATGATGTAATTTTTATACATGTAAAAATATTCTACTGATGAAATTATTTTCACATTTTTGCTTAACTCTGGCACGTCTAAACTTGAGTTTTAATGAATATCTGCAGTGCTCGTATAAAATACAGTAGTAAAGTACAGCCAAAATGAAAAAAAGGACTAGTAGACTTATGTTTCTGAAATTAGTATGTGTAAGAAACTGCACAATTGTTCTTTTACTGTACCAATATTTCCAGTTTTTGTATTTTCATAAACTGAATTAGTAGCAACAGGCACGCACAATTCTGGCATTTATTCAAAAAAGTATGGCAAAACAATTACAATTAAAGGAACTAAAAGTATATTATGTACTTAAAAACACAAAGTATAAATGAATGAAGTTCTTACTATTGGATGGGGCCCATAAGGGGCAGCACCATTCATTCCTTCAATTTCATACTGTAGAAGTAAAAACAACAACAAAAGAAATAAAGTTTAAGACAGTAACAAAAATGTAAACAGTTTTAAACAACAAATAAGCGAGGCATACAAGTTACAAAAACATATATAATTTTTGTAAAGCTGACACTATATTGACAGTAGGCAACTACTAATAGTTGCATACAGCAATTATGGTTTCGTGAAATCTAAAATAGAACCAAAAAACAAGCATTTTAAAACAAAACAGTTACAAATTTTGAAGATGTATAAGGAACTTTTTCTTCATTTTGCATGCAGATAATTACTCATTCATTTATGTGGGTAAAATAAGTCAATCCATGTCTTTTTGTTTCAGAATATTAAATTTGAAGCAGTGCTTCGGCTCCAAAGAAATCTTATGAAGAGATAGATGAACTAATGTTTTCAGAATAACTGAAATCATAAAGAAACATTTATTTATTGGGTAATGCTTGGTTTCAGTGAAGTAATGCTAAACTATATACACATGAAAGAGAATGGCTATGAATGAAAAATTTAGTTAATAAAATTTCCAATGTTTTGTTGTATAATATGACATTAAAATGATATTTCTTAAATTGTGAATATTCAATATAGTAACTAAAATAATTTAATGTAACAAAGAAAACAAGAGGAAATCCTCAATAGTCATGGCACTTGAAATTCTTTTAGGTAGGACTAAAATAAATGAGACCTTGGACATGGTCAATTACATCAATTGAAAGGTTTGACCTCCTGAGTTCAAAAGTGTTACTAGATCTCAAATTGGTCAATATATGGTAGAGTTATGAGTTAAAAGTTTGTACTTGAAAAAAACAAAAAAGAAAACCCAGAGCCGTTCTATGAGCCACTATGCTGCAGTTAAAAATCCCTTAATAGCAAACAATATGAAATTCAAACAAAAAGAAACAGAAAATAATCTATTACTACACAAATAAAAACAATGTTTCTTTATATCTGAAGTTTAATTAACTTAAGGTTTGAGTCTGAAATAAAGCAATAGTAAATCTTGTAGATTTTGTACCAACCTTTTCAGATGAGGTCTGATGGTCTTTACTACTGCCTGAAGCATTTTCATGATCTTCTATACACAGGTCTACATCAGATTCTGCTCTTCTAACATCCTACAATAATAATAGTATAATAACACTTTTATTTTTTTGATAAGAACTATGTGATCAGCCTGCAACAAAAACTTATTACATGTGAACTAACAAATTTTTATAAACATTTTCAAAGTCTGTTATCAACTTGCAATGACAACACTTCTAATGTGATAACATTGTGATGGATAAACAATGTCATACTTTATCAATCTGAAAGGATAACACAGTACCACAGTAATAAAACTGTGCTGTCTAAATATTGTTACCTTTTCTTATGAGCATGGAAGGATAACACAGTACCACTGAAATAAAACTGTTATTTAAACATTTACATTAGATTAAAAGGATTAAAATGAATTTTGAAAAAAGTACTTCTGAATTATTGACAGCCTTTCCTTGTTCAGTTTGAGCTCATGTTGTTAACAAACAATGACTAAAATATGGAAAAAATTCCTTTATGCATCACAGTTCTCTATTCTCTCGAATAATTTATTGTACATCCATCAGGAGAGATAACATAAGCTCTGCTTTACCATCATAGTTTTGGATTTGTTTGAAAGTTGCAGTTAGGATGAAAATTTGGGTTGTGGATAGGCAGGAGGGGAATGTATTTCAGATGTAGTTGCCCGTTTACAATTAATTTTATTCCTGAAAATGTAAAATTCTAACAAGGTAGACTTACCCCTAAAATACTGAATAGCAGAATATCCATAACGTAAAGAAGGTAGGAATTGATGAATATTAAAAGAAAAACTATAAGTTACAGGTTAGAAAGATAGTAATGACAGAATTGGATTTGAGGGAGATTGAATGAAGCAGACTAGATTTATAAAAAGAATGAACCTAAAGTATACAGAAAGAAGGCAAGGCATTTCTTCAACAAAGGGAAGTAATGGTGTACTGAACCTGTGAAGCCAACAATGGGACACAGGTGGTGGCATAAACAGGTAGGAGGAATAACATCTGCTCTTACAGTGGAAGGTTCTTGGGGGAACAGCCCATACACTTGTTACTGAAGAACATACTCCAGAGGCAGTAGCTCCCCTTTTATCCACATCAGGAAGGTTACAGAGTCATACAACAGGCCAAATTAGTGGATGCTCAGAGAGAACCAAAGTAAGACCCAAGCAGTCTCTAAGGACAGTGGAATGGAATATCTAGTTATATCTCCAATACGTACATGGAGGTAGGAACAGTATCTTTTGAGACATCATCAGCCAACAGTCCACTTCTAAAGGGCAACATCTCTCTTATGAAGCCCCAGCACAGAGGGTAGAATTGTGTCAAGGACAAATAGAGGTTAAAAAAAAAAGAGCCCTGACTGGAGAAATTCATATGAACACAGAAACTTCCTTCAGAAGGAGAGACAACTGAATGTTTTTTTTTTCATTCTGCATATTCATGCACAAACTTGTACACCCTGAAAATAGTGAACAACAAGTGTTGGGTAAAAGACAAAAAAAAACACATAAACTTGCCTCTTACAGATTTAATCAAGTCTGTAAAATAACCATAGACAGCAAGGAGAATACTGAAGCTGAAAAACAATGTGATGAAGGTAAAATTGTAAAAACAAAGGTACTTGGATTCCTCCAATGCTGGCCTGAAAGATGTCCTCTAAAGGGCAATAAGACTGAGAGGTAGCCAACTGGTGAATTTGATAAGATTTAATCTGAAATTCCTTCCAAATCAATTGTATAAGCCATTCATTAATGTGGATGAAGCCAAATCCATTATAAGCTATAAGTAACAGATGCCATACCCCTTGAAAAGGTTCAGTTTATGCAAGATATCAATGAACACCCCTGACAGGACATAGAAAATATTTTCTTGGAATAATAATTAGGGTCAGAGTTTGTAGGTAACACAACAAGAGACAAACAGTTGTGACTCCCTCTTTCCACCCAAATGTGAGGTAGGAAGGTCTTATCACTTATCAAGATATAATTACACAGAGCCATTACAGAAAAATTAAATAAAAATTGAGAAGCACCAATAGCACCAATGTGGAAAAGTTCATAAAAGATGAGAAATCAACTTCCATAGGTCCCAATCATGAAAGACAAAACAAACTGGTAAACTGCTAGGGAGGAATGTTGGTAAGAACATTACAACATACAGGTTACATGAGAAGACAGTTTAGCCTCTTTAACAAAGGGTCACATAACAGTCAGCCCTAAAATATTACATGAAGAATGTCTTTCTGGAAGAAGAATGTTGGAGCTTAGTTGAGAAGATATTTCCACTGGTAATGGGAAAAAATCCTTCTGAGATGGATGAGAGAGAGGTGGAAACCAAAGTTGAGCAGGCCAGCATGGGGCATTAAAGAAGAACTTGACAATGGGGCCTACTGATCACGGATAACACCAGAGAGAAGACAAAGAGGACGATAGCCACAGAGAGAAAAAGTTTTCCTAAGATTAGCTCAAGGCATTATCTGCTAATGAAGTGGTAGAAGATGATTTACTGCCATTATGGATACATCAGCCATAGAACAACAGAACCAAAGATAGCTATTGGAAAACTGAAGAGTCCACTCCATTTATAGAAGTCAATGTACTCATGAAAGAGAATCCACTAGAATTTTCATAACCCCTGGCACATGACAAGCTTGGAGAATGACACAATGTGAATTTGGCCAAAGAAAAGGAAAGACTACAGCAAAACAAAGCCTGTGAGAATGAGTCCCAAACTGTTTATTGAGATATATCATTCAGTTGTCTCATCTGTGTGTACCTAACACAGAGGTGTTGCAAAAATGTCAGTAGATCCTGACATGCACAATGAACTGCTCAAAGTTCCAACAAATGAAAAAGTCTGAGCAAAAGCACCAATTTGTTCATGAATATAAGAAAGAGTATTAATCCATCATATTGACATCCAAGAAACTCTATTACTCACTAGGAACACCTCCAAAAGACTCAGCATGAATGGAGCAAATATATTGATTGATAAATGTTAACAATGAAATGATAGAAATTCCCTGCATGTAAGAGAAAGACTGCTGAAATAAAAATAATTATGATCCTGAATATAAGCGTTAGAAGAATCGAGTGAAACAAGAATAGGAGTATTAACTTAATAAGTAACGTGAGCTTCAAAATTCACCATGGAATAGACTGTAGAAAGTAAACAACATGACTGTCAAAAAAGAAAATCTAAATTATGTCAGGAAAGCAGAGCTTATGTAGGATCACCAGACACTCGCACAATAAGTGATGTGGAAAGAAGGAAAGTGGAAAACGATTGGTAAGTGACACATGCTCTACAATGTGTATAGAATATTTGGTGTTACCTTTTTTTGACAGTACGAGTTCAAACTGTGATGTATAAACAATCTCATAATTTGTTCATTATCAATTTGCATGGATAATAGTTATCACTGAGGTTCTTTCACAATAGTTTTTCCTCCAATCAGCTCTATTCCTCTTCTCAATACATGATCCCTCCATCTCTCTGATTGAGCAACAGTGTTTTTTTTCTCCCTATCCCTAATATTCCTTCTTCCAGGACTTCCTTTATCAAACTATTTCCTTGAACTATATTTCCTACTTATAAATTTGCCTGATTTTTTTTACCATCAAGGTTCTATTTACCTCCATCATCTCATTCAGCCATGCTGATTTGTTTCCATTTGTTGCCAAACTCACATCTCAGTATTTTGTAATCCTTTAATGTGTACTTTCCTCAGTGTCCATGTCTCTCCTCCTTACACTACCACACCCAAAACCAGTCTTTTTTTTAATTCTCATTTTACTAAATGAAGCTTCTGTTATTATAATTCTTAAACTGATTTCCTTTGTGCATTTTCCATCTCCTGTAAAGATATTTCCTAACTACCTAAACTCATTCACATGCTTCAATTGTTGCTCATTCAGTGTAATGTTCAACTTATTGCTACTCCTTCGTGACACCTTAATTACCTTTGACTTCTGGACATAAAGTTGTATTATAAAACCTTTTCCCATCATATTCAAACTCTCTTCAAAAATGGACACTAGAATAATATAGAACCAGTATCATAATACTGTGTTATTTAAATAATTTCTAAAATTACATTTTTTTAACCTACAAATAAAATAAGATATATGTATGACAATATTGTGTTAAGTATGAAATAAGTTAAAGGCCATGGTGCATATTGAAGGGTTTCACTATTTACATGAAATAAAAACAATACTTGTTACTTCACATAAAAAATACTTTGGTCAGCTAGTGCATGTTTGTATATTAACACAGACCTTTCACAGCAATTCATTTAAAGTATGAAGAAAACAAATGTAGCCAAAAGGGGTGGTGTTGGTTTAAGGAACAAAGTTCCAGTTTAGGCAGTCTAGGGAGCCAAAAGACACCAGCTGAAAATGATTTTAAAATATTGCAAAAATTCTCAGGAGGTGCACTTTCAACTACCTTTAAGTTTAAACATTTATGCTCATTAAATATTAAGTACTTCTACAAGTTAATATGCATAAGTGAAATTACAATAGCTCTCTCTTTTAAATGAAAATAAATTAAGCTGTTTTTGAAAATGTGATGTATATATATATATTTCATAATCAAGAATACTTGAAGGCATTATCATCACAAATGTGGTTTCCTAAGTTCTCGATATAAGCCAATCAGCATGCTTGATCTGATTTCTCCACTGAGGTATGCAAGTTCCAATTATGCCTCAGTTATTACAATGAAAAGAAAGTTGATTGTATTGACAGACATAACTGGCTTAATTATTATCACTATCAGTGGATTACTGAAGGACTTTAATAATAATTGGGAAAAGTATAGCGTTTTTTTTGGCATATGGATTGTCATGGGAGGGAACTGTTAATTATGCAAGATATGCAACATAAAGCAATATCATGTAAAATTGTCTTTACTCTTTAACCTACAGATATAATTGCATTTAAAGCATGCAATCAAATCAAACTTACATATTGCTGTTCATAATGGTATTCTTTATTTGTTCAAAACGTCACAGGCAAATTACTTAGGCATAAAACCTTCGGAAACATCTGAATCAAATTCTGGCTACAAACAAAAGGTCGATGAAAAATTAGAGAACAAAAAGTCAAAAAAGTTTTGAATAAGAATGACTTCAGTTGGTATGTGAAGATGTAGGAAAAAGCAATGTGTATGTTGTGCACATGATAATCCTGATAAGACTAGAAATACTTGACTGCCATTCAAACTGCAAGTTAAAAAATACAAATAGAATAAAAAAGAAAGGAAAACACAGTAAATTTAGACAATGATATTATATTATTTTGAATGAAGACAGATTATCTTATTGATTGAAATTACAAAACAATAAAAAAATAAATGATTTTCTTAGACTCTGAAGACAAAATTTTTAAATAAAAAAAATGCTATCATCAGTTAATGCTCCAAATTGCATATATTTGTGTGCGTGTGTGTGTCACACACACACAGTGATGGAAACAATTAACCCCTAAGTACACAATACTTCATTTACTAAATCAGTGCTTTCACATTGTGAATGCATTTGATACAGATATGTGAATTCTCTTTATTTTCAAAAACTTCTCCCTGTTGGCACCTAGAGGGAGAAGTGAGTTCTTCCTGTTTTGGGAGTCTGGCTTGACCCTAGTTATAATAACAACATGCAGGTCAAAATAGGATTGCATTTAATGACTGTTTCACAGTGCCATAATCTGAACACAACCATATGTTAAATGAAATGAGATTTAATGGCTGGCTTCTGGTGTTGTCATCAAAACATGCAGGTCAAGTGGGGTTACATTTAATGACTGATTTACAGAACACAACTTAAGTCAACTGGAATTACATTTAATGACATGAGTTTTGACACAATAGTGATCACAAGCTAAAATAACTTATCATCCAAATTGTTATGATTAGTGGGTGGTTTATTACGATGCTTGAATGAATGTTGAGGCCTATTTATGATGCATCAATCAAAACTTACCTGGGACATCTGTTTTGTTGTGGTCAGTATACGTGCCACTGGGAGACAACAAGAAGGTAGGGTTTCTACAAGTGTTGGTTGACTATGTGTTAGGAGAGGTTTCATATAACTGGAGTTTTGTCAAGGATAAATTTATCTTGATAAAAAAATAAATGAATTAAGCACATTCTTGCAACAATATCTGTAAAACTCTCAAAATAAGTTAAACTTTACATTGTTACTTATATGTATGTTTAACTAATTCTTCAACAATTTAGAAGGATACCTAACATCAAAGTTATACCATTTCCTGACCAACCAGGCTTTTTCATGAGGTGTTCTTGTTTCCATTCCTGGAGGAGGACTCCTAAGGTCTGTAGGAGTTGACACTTGAGAGGTCTTAAAAAAACCAAAATCAAACATTTATAATTATGATATACAGTAGCTATGTATAAAATGTCTCAGTAATTCTTGAGTTGAAATATTACACAGAAATAAAATTCTTACTGAAATGTAAACAATTCAAACACTTACTAATCAACTCTTAAAAACTTGAAGATACTACTTCATAACAAGGAATGCTATTGTTTCTAAAATAATAGTTTCAATGAGAGGAGAGATTTATATGGCACAAAATTTCTTTAACCTTGAATTAGTGACTTGTTTATATACCTGTCATTATTGGTGGGGACCTCAAACTGAGTAATTTGTATTTTGGCTAGTTATAGCATTCAGTGTAAAGAACTAATAAAACATGGGGTAAAATTACTTATTTTCTGTGCAAAAATACATTGGTGGGATAATTTCAATATCAACAGCATTTCTGTGACTAATATGTTATGAAGAATCCTATAACTAACAATGTTATTGACCAACAAGCAATTTGGTGCATAAATACATTAGAAACACGAGTTTAAAAGGACTATCAGTAATTCTTGGGTTATGATCATATTGGAAAAAAAAAAAAACACAATAAAAAATTTGTTTTAAGTGTGTCAAGTCAGTAAATCACTACATACCAACATAGACACCCAGACTTTATGACAGTGTGAAGAACACTCACTACACACCAATAGACAGCTAAGCCAGTGTGAAGAACATTCACTACACACCAATAGACAGCTAGGTTTTTTTTAAAGTGTGAAGAACAGTCATTACATACCAACACAAACAGCTAGGATTTATAACATCATAAAGAACAATCAATAAACATCATTGTTAACAGCTAGGCTTTAAAATAGTTTGAAGGACACTCACTACACACCAACAGACAGCTAGGTTTTATAACAGTGTGAAGAACATCCACTACATACCAACATAGACAGCTAGGCTTCATAACAGTGTGATGAACACTCACTACACACAATTAGACAGTTAAGCCTTATAACAATGTGAAGAACATTCACTACACACCAACATAGACAGCTAGGCTTTAAAACAGTGTGAAGAACATTCATGACACACCAAAAGACAGCTAGATTTTACAACAGTAAGACCTACACTCAATACATACCAACATTAACATCTAGATTTCACAACAGTACATAGTACACTCACTACATAACAATTCTGTCAGCAAGACTTTACAAGTGTGAAAGTACACTTATATATCAACTTTGACAGCTAGGATTTAGAACAGTATGAAGTAAATTCAATACATATCATAGGCTTTATAAATGTGAATTACACTAACAACATATCAACTTGACAGCTAGGCTTCACAACAATGTGAAGAACACTCACTATGTACAATAGATTGAAGTACGCTCACTACACATATATTCTAAACCAGGTTTTCATGTATGACAAGCAGTGAAGTGCACTTATTTAACATTATAAAATTATTTACATAACAACATTGAATTTCTGGTTCAAGACTGGGTGAAGTACACTAAATGTATGTAGAAAAGTAATGCTAGATAAATCAATACTTGCTTAAAGGAAAATTTGAATGCATTTTCTTTCATGTGATGTTTCACATGCAAGTCCTTCATCAGGCAGTATATACCATGTAACATTGTATATACTGCCTGACAAAGGGTGTCTGCCCAAAACATCAAATAAAATAAGACAATAAAATTTTCATTTAGATATGTGTTAGTTTGTCCTTTATTACTTTTTATCTAAATTTTTTCTGCTCATGTTTTGCAGAAAAACAGCCATAGACTAAATATAACTATGTAAATTTATCTACATCTATGATCAAAATGAGAAGCAGTGAAGTTCAGCTGCTTAAAATGTATTTATTACAGTTGTTTAGTTTATGCGACACTGACCTAATTTCTGGTCAAACAACTTTACTAAAGCATCTTCTCAACTGAGCTTTTGTGGTTTCAAACACTATCTATTAATCAAAATTTACTGGTTAAGAATTAGAAGTACAAACGAGACAATTTTTTTCTGTTCAAAATAAAAGAAGGCAGTCTCAATCATAATACCATGGTTGTACAACCAACTGAAGTTAAGATTACTTCAAAAGTCTGCCTATCCACCATTATAGGTCACCTAAACATCACTATACAACCATTATGCATAATGCACATAATTCTTGTTTCAAACAGTACAGATTCAGCACACCCTCAATGCTTAGAAATTCAGTCCAGTAATAGTTTATATGCATACATTTTAATACTTGAGTAAGGAAGCACATTATGCTAATATAATAATAGGTAGGAAAACACTATATGTAGTATGTTCCACCATAAATAACTCACTTCATTATGCTTATAAATCATTGTTTGCCTACTTATTATGTATATAACTTACCACTAGACCTTATGCCAGCAACAGTTTGTTCTATAAAATATTCTGTGAGAAATAACAAATTAAAAGGTCCAGTAGTTGATCTAAAGCTAATGATTAGGTACATCTAATGCTAAATGAATTCTGTCATTGTGAACCTGAAGAAAAACAAGAAGAAAAGGCAGATTAATGTTGTATGTTTCAAATGTAAAAGTAATAGAAAGTTTCAAGACTGCAAACTAGACAAATAATTTTTCATGTAAGTGTATGAAATATATTACATTAATAGTTTACTATAACTTAAACAGCTGAATACATTTTCTTACCCGTTTTACACTACTGAAGTGCTGCAATTCTTGTTCTTCATCTACTCCAACTCTAAAAGAACAACCATGAATACAATATACAAAGTAAAAGACAACACAAACACTATACATATAGAGCATAGTTCACTAATAAAAGTAGCCTAGTTTTGTTCTTTTTGTTTACCTTTGTTCAGAGTTAGTGTTGAAGGGTAAAATTGCTAAAACAAGTCTAAATTTGTGACTTGTCTCAAATCAAAGAACAGAATTGGCCTCTCGTTTTCTTTTTCACCAAACTTCACAATCTTAGCGAGAAAAACTCTTTTAAGTCAAATTGTCTACTTCATAGTACGGACAATACATTAGAAACATAAATATTATTTTATTTTCCAACTCTCTATATGAATACAGATTAATTTTGATAATTAAAAGACTCTACACACAAGTAAAATGAGGCCAATGAAAGATCATCAAACAATTACAAAAATATTAAAGGTATTTTACTTAATATTCTAAATTGATAATCTTAGGTTAAAACATATGAGCTTATATCATATGCTTACCTAAAATTAAACAAAATGTTCAATTGTCACTGGTCTAACTGTGCAACACAAGAAACTCCATTATACTCTACTTCAGGCTATTTTTATTGCCTTTAGAAAACTTAAAATCCTTTTATAAAGTATATACAAAACATTATAAGAAACATTACATCAGAATTTCTCATAAGACTACAAGCATAGCAATAAACTTAGCACCATATCCTTCACTAACAAGATTAAACTGTGATGTGACTTATGCCTTTACTAAATCATCCAAGTTAGACATGTTACTCTTTAAGTCACTTATCCATAGATGCCACTTATAACATGGCACACTTAGTCCATATTTCTGAAAACAATTATGCTTCTGTAACCTTCTATATAAATGGTTTCAAAATGAGCTTATTTCACTGAGCAGAGAATATTTACAACTTCATGGTTTAACTTATTATTATACATTTTTTATGAATCCTTGTGCTCTTTCACAAGGAACGAGATAACTAAAATGTAATAATACATATTCAAGCATTATACCAAAAGTAACTGTAAAAAAAAGCTCAATGAATGCCAGTATTCATAATTTTGTTTCCCTTTGCTCCTAGATTAAAAATTTATAAAATAATGTGAGCAAACCTGTTTTTAAAACACCATAACATTTGAAATGGCTAATGCTTCAATGGGCCCAGCATGGCCAGGTGGTTAGGGCGCTCGACTCGTAATCTGAGGGTCGCAGGTTCGAATACCCGTTACACCAAACATGCCAACCTCCGCCTTTGCCTGATCCCAAGTCCAGGATGAGAAAGGGGGAGGGTTGGGCACGGGGCTAGCAACTCCACCCTGT